GCGATGAAGTCCAACTACTCTTGTGGGGTGGAGGACTCTCGCATAGCCTGGCAGTCTTCCACCAGATGGTTAGAGCTCTCACACCACTGGCACTACGCAATTGAGGGTCCGACCAATCCTCTGCCCGGAATAAGACTATTGGGCTGCTTCAGTGTCTGGACCAACTCGGACACCTCCCGCTCTAGCACGGATCTGGCCTCCATGGCATGCACACCACGATCCCTGGAACTCCTGCTTATGGTGCTCTTCCCCCAGGAATGATCCTTGGCAGCCAGAGTACTAATCATCTGATTCAGTTTGGGAGGAGTCTTGGTGAGAATATCCCCTCCTGGACATAGGGACTCGATCACCCTCTGGCTCTTTGGGGTCAGGGAGCTGTAGAAATTCTCCACTGTAAATGCATCACTAAAACCATGATGGGGACACTGCCAGAAGAATCCCGAGTACCACTCCCATGCATCACGTAGTGACTCATCTGGCTCCTGGTGAGTGATCTCCTGCTGAATCTCTGTAGTCTTCAATGCCGGATAGTACCTATGCACGAATTTGTTGGCCAGATCGTCCCATGAGGTGATGGACAATGGGGGTTGGGTCTCTAACCACCTCTTCGCATGTCCCGCCAGAGAATGGGGGAAAAGGTGGAGGCGGATCGCATCATCGGGTACACTATTCATCTTGAACCCATTTGTCAGCTGCAGGAACTGGGAAAGGTGCACCCTCGCCTCTTCATCCTTCAAGCCATGGAACTGGATAGAGGATGTAATCAGTTGGATCTAGCATGGCTTGATGTCAAAATTGTTCGCTGGAATAGGCGGGTATAGGATGACAGGGCGGATATCAGTGACCCATGGAGTGTAGTAGTACTCCATGGTAGGACCCGGCGGTGGTGGTGGATGCTGAGCCCCATCGGGTTGGGGAGCTCCGTTGTTGGCCAGGATTTGATTCACCGGGGGAACCTGGAGAGGCATCCCCTGGGGCAGGTTTTGTCCACCGTTCATCTCGTACTCGTCCTCAGAATCGCTGCTCAAGTGGCCGTCTATGCACTCCTCCGTAGCCAGTCTTGTTCATTGTTCTCTCCTACGTTGGCGACAAGTGCTTCAAGCTCTGCGTCCAACGGTAGTAAGCCTCCTGACTGGCTACGGGTCATGCACAATCTGCACACACCCAAACAAGCAACCAGTGAAGGCACAAGTGGGACAAAGCAAACAAACAATGCAAAAACGAAAAGCTAAATTAACAGAAACCACGTTTCTTCAACAACCTAGTCGTCCCCGGCAACGGCGCCAAAAACTTGACTCGCCTTTACCATCACACTAGAAAATGCCCAAGTATAACCACTCACTAGAGCGTAGTATAGCGAGTTTGGGTTTTAATGTCAACCCGGGTCCTAAGTGTGCTGACTACTCCGGATATTCTTATTATTTAGCAATGAGAATGTAGTGGAGGTCTTTGTAAACAAACAAGCAAAGCAGGAAACAGTTGTTTTCAAGTTGAGAGAGGTCACCCGGATATGGTTCCCCCTAGACTACAGTTAAACCGAACTGTAATTCACCAAGTTCAAATTCAAAGATAGTTATACTGCGGGAGGTTCTTAAACAGTCTGCACTCTCGACTAAAGGTCTCCAGGCCCTCTCAATCTGAGTCTCCAGTGGGCGACTAACCTCCACCGGAGTAAACAGATTGAGGCCCTAACGAACAAAACATCCTCTACTGGAGCAAATCCAGTACAGAATAGTGAATTGACTCCTCGACTAAAGTCGTCAATTCACTACCTTCAATCAAGGGTACTCTATCAACCTAGGCAGATATTATCTCTCTAGGTCAAAGCAGAAACGATAGGAATGTGATCAGGATTCATGTCATTCATCAAATCAAACCTCAATTGAATATAATCAAACTAATGAATTCATACTTGGGTTGATACAATCAGACCTAACATACAAATCTAGGGTTCTCCATACCCAGATGATTGAGGAAGTTACTCCATGGAGAGAGAAGCAAAAGCTAGCTCAGATGCAGAAATCATGCTGTGAAGGATGGGTTTCTGCTTCTGGTCGTCAATCGACACTTCTCCAAGTGTTGGCCAAGCTCCAATGGTGATGAAAATCGATCTAAAGCACTTGGGAAATCTGGTTCGTCGCTTTCTCTCTAGGTATGGTTTTCTTTCTCTAAAACTCGGAACCCTTCAATTTTGCCACTCTTTTCCCTTAAGAAACAGCCATTCGCGATCCCCGGTTCGAATCCCCGGTCGGGTATTTCAGGTGCCCAGCCGGGGTTGTTGAAACGCCCCGCATCGACAGGGAATTAATCCCGGATCGAGGTCAAGAATACCCGATCGGGGATTTAAGCACTCCGGCCGGGACCCCTCCTGGGAATCCAGCTTTCCCCGACCGCTCCTTGCCCTGTTACCCGGCTGGGTATTTCCCTTCCTGGCCGGGTATTTTGACCTTCCAGCTCTTTCATGCTCCAATGGTCCCCTTTTTGCCCGAAACTCGATTCCTCGCCTCCACGTCAACGCCAAGTCCTGAAATGTGACATAAACACACAACCTAGCGTGAGATCGGCTTAAAACACGAGAATCAACATCTCAAATGGCTCAAGAATGAAGGTAAAAATATGTGCAATTAACAGTCTTTCATTTATGCACTGAGGCCTCAACTTGACACAGATGCTAATGCAGCGAGAGATTGGTAATTGGTTGGCTTTATCATTCATGGCCATCTCGGAGAGGGGAAGAAGGATGCGACGAGGCTGGCAACGTAGACGGAGGAAGTGAGCTGCAGCTGGCTGTCGAATTTGCTGTAATTGCTGATCTTGGTTATCCTGTTTCATCTTCGTGGAAGAACTTTCTTTCAGGATCTGCACCATTGAAGTCATCACTCCTGCTTCAGTGGCCATGTATGATAAGCCAACCGTCATGGTTACTTGCTAATGAGCTTGATCTTGAATATTGGTGAAGGAATACTCTGTACATATACTTTCATTGGCTGCGGTAGCAGGGGGCGGGATACGATCACTTCCCCTTATGGAGTTGTGAGATTCACAATCAAGGGCATTTTGGGTATGACAAAAAACGAATTTATTAATTAATTTTTTTTTGTATTAATTAAAGATTGGGAATAAAAAAACCCATATTAAATACATACTTATTTTAAATTTAAATCCTACAATAAATATAACTCTCTCTCTTCCTTTTCTAGCTGCCACACCACTCCGACCGACAAATTTTCTCCGGCGAAATCCTTGAATAAGACTCGCTCCGGCCACCTGCAAAAAATTCCCGCTCCATTAGTGCGCTAGTGGTACGCTACCGCTACCTTTGGTACCACTACCAGAACAGCGGTACCACTACAATCTGGTAGTTGGTAGTGGTAGAGTACCACTATCATTTGGTACCACTATCGTCTGGTACCTGATAGTGATAGCGTACCACTATCATTTGGTGCCATTACCTGGTAGTGGTAGGTACCAAATGGTAGTTGTACGATACCACTACCTGCTACAAGATGGTAGTGGTGGCGTACTACTAGATCTTGTACCACTATCAGAAGAAAACCACTCGGAAAAAAAAATTAGATCTAAAATCCAAAACTCACAGATCTGAAAAATGAAGGGGAGGAGAGGAAGAGTATAGTGCCAGAGGGACTCATACTGAAAGAGGCAAGGAGAGGAGGCATGGCGGCGGCGGCAGAGGGTGAGGGAGGCGGAGGATTGCGGAGGCGGCGCCGGTGGAGGGCTCGGCAGGGGGTGAAGGGAGGCGGAGGGTAGCTCGACAGCGACGATGGAGGGCGCGACAGGGGTGGAGGGAGGCGGCGGCGGCGGCTGTGAAGGGCGACGACGTTGGAGGGTGGCGATGCCGTCTGTCTGCTAGAGAGGAGGAGGGAGAGAGGGAGGAGTTAGGGTTTTATGTATTTATATGGGAGGGGAGAGTGATTGGGTGTGGTAATATTTTTTCCTTCCAAAAATACCCTTATTTTAATCCTAACCATCAATTTGAAAAAAAGAAGAGAGAGACAGGTTAGAGAGTATATCCAATGGCTAGGAAGTAAGTTCTGAATCTCATAACCCCTATAGGGGAAGTGACGGTATCCCAACCCCAGTAGGAGAGATCATAGTCACTGCCTACACGTGGTGAACCGAGGAACATGCGCAACTTTGACAAATTTGATTAGGCCACGCGACCACCTTCATTTTCTTAAGGGAAAAAATGAAATTTTGATATAATTAATATTTAGAACAAAGTTAGGATGGAAAGTTGAAACAAAAATACTTTCTTCTAGTTTAGATTTCTAAAAAATATTGTTATTGTTGTTATTAGTGTTAAATGTCAAAACTCAAAAGTCACCTTGATGGTTATTGATTAATTTGCTCATTTTTGAGATGGCAGCCTTGGGCTTTCAAGGTAGTTTTGAACTCGATGTAATTTTAATTTAATCATAATATAAGTCTGTCAAAAGCGAACTTATCATTATTGTTTATATAACAAATAATGGAACGATAGCAACCATAAAAATCAAGGATTTGAAAAACCGCACTACTGAAAAAATCAGTCGTAAAGTATTTTATGCTGAAAATGTAGTTTAATAATGGTTTAACCGTTTCATATCGCTAGTTATCATCTACGAATTTTATTTTCAATAGGAGATTTCTGTAGTTTAATGGTGCTCCAACCGTTTCATATCGCTAATTACCATCCATACCCAAACTATGGAAGTGAGGTTTGAGCGTTCAATCGAATTGGGCCTGGATGTAAACTCATCTGAAGCCTATAACCTACCTTAACCGCCTTTCTCTGGTGGCACGAGCCTAATTGAAACTATAATAACATCCATCTGGAATTTGGAACTGGAAGGAAAGCAGTTTTTACCAAGTACGAGTTTCGCGAACGGGCGTGGGGATATTTCGTAATTTCATTTTCCAAGCCACAAGTCCACAACACAATCTATCCCCAATCTCACCAAAAACCCTAGCTCCTTCTGCTCTCTTCCTTCCCTTCTTCCATGGAATCCGTCGTCGAGGAAGCTACCAATCCACAGTTCCATCTCTCAGATCCCTCTCCTCCGCCGGGAAACTTGGCTCTGGACACTGCCGAGCCGCCTTCTCCTGAAAAGCCGCCCCAATCTCGCGACGCGTATCCCGCTGCCATTGGCAATAATGGTCAGATCGAGTTCCCAAAGCCTAGGCTCGACTTCACCAAGCCTCTCCTGTCCGAGAATGGCGTCACCAAAACCAACAGCGGCGATAAGGACTTCTCCGGCGGTGAAGAGGAGACGACGAGCCGTCGCAAGCGGAGGAGCCGCTGGGACCCGCAGCCGGACGGAAGCGGTGGAAATCAGGCGGCGGATGGAGGCGAGAGCAATAACGGTAGCAGTAACAATAACAATGAAGCCGGGAGTGGCACTCGGAAGAGGAAGTCGAGGTGGGCGGATGATGAGCCCAAGCCTGTGATTCAGCTCCCTGATTTTATGAAGGATTTTACTGGAGGTATTGAATTTGACCCTGAAATCCAGGCTTTGAATGCTAGGCTCCTCGAGATTAGCAGGATGTTACAGTCTGGTACGTCTCAGTCTGGTTTGCCGTTGGATGATAGACCTGAAGGAGCTAGGTCTCCTTCTCCTGAACCAATTTATGATAACATGGGAATTAGGATCAATACTAGAGAGTATAGGGCCAGGGAGAGGTTGAACAAAGAGAGGCAGGAGATTATTTCACAGATCATCAAGAAGAATCCTGCGTTTAAGCCTCCTGCTGACTACAGGCCCCCGAAGCTTCACAAGAAGCTCTACATACCGATGAAGGAGTACCCAGGGTATAACTTTATTGGATTGTGGCACTCTTGGCCTCCCAGGTCTCTCTTTTCTGTTTCGTTTCTGGGCAGGTTTTTTGCGGCCTCACTCTGTCGCTGTACTTTTTTGCTTTTCTGGGAAGTTGGGTTCAGTTGCTTGTGAACCCCTCTTCCTTTGACTCTTGTTTCGATTTTGGTTCGTTTTCCTTTAATTCAATCATCATTATCAAAAAAAAAAAAAAACTTTATTGGATTGATTATTGGACCTAGAGGCAACACGCAGAAAAGAATGGAGAGGGAAACGGTGCTAAGATTGTAATTCGAGGGAAAGGGTCGGTGAAGGAGGGCAGGTTGCAGCAGAAGAGGGATTTAAAGCCGGATCCGTCTGAGAATGAAGATTTGCATGTTTTGGTCGAGGCAGATACTCAAGAGGCCTTGGAAGCTGCTGCTGGCATGGTTGAGAAGCTGTTGCAACCGGTTGACGAGGTTCTGAATGAGCATAAGAGGCAGCAGCTTAGGGAACTAGCTGCTTTGAATGGTACAATTAGGGATGAAGAGTATTGCCGGTTGTGTGGTGAGCCTGGACACAGGCAGTATGCTTGTCCATCCCGGACTACAACATTTAAGAGTGATGTGCTTTGTAAGATTTGTGGTGATGGTGGACATCCTACTATTGATTGTCCTGTTAAGGGAACAACTGGGAAGAAAATGGACGATGAATACCAAAACTTCTTGGCAGAACTGGGTGGGACTATGCCTGAGTCCTCGAATAAACAAACTGCTACCTTGGCTTTGAGGTCAAGTGGATCTGGAAGCAATCCTCCATGGGCTAGCAACACTGGGGGTATTGGCAGTGCGAATCAAGCTGGACTAGGAGCCACTGATGGTAAATCGACAAAGGAATATGATGATACCAATCTTTACATTGGCTACTTACCTCCTACTTTTGATGATGATCGTTTGATCCAGTTATTCTCTGCATATGGTGAGATTGTAATGGCAAAGGTAATCAAGGATAGGGTCACTGGGTTGAGTAAAGGGTATGGTTTTGTCAAGTATTGTGATGTTCAAATGGCTAATTCGGCAACTACTGGCATGAATGGAGCTCGTGTTGAAGGTCGGACCATTGCTGTGAGGGTTGCGGGTAAGCCTCCTCAACCTAGTGTTCCTCCTGGCCCTCCTGCATCCAGCATGCCCACATGCCCTGTCTCAAGTCAACCAGTTGGTGCCTATCCATCCCAGCAGTTCACCCCTTGTGGTCCTCTTCCACCTGCTCCTCCAGGAAACTATGCTGCTCCTCATCCAAGCTATGGAGGGCCTCCTGTTCCTTGGGGACCACCTGTTCAGTCTCCCTATGCTCATTATCCTCCACCTCCTCCTAGTTCGAACATGTATCCTCCTCCTCCTCCCCCTCCTGGACACCCTATGGCACCTTATGGCACGCAATATCCTCCACCAGTGCCTCCGGCTCCGGGTGCTCCTAGTCCAACTGTGACTCCTGAAGCTCAACAAAGTTACCCACCAGGGGTTCCATCGGAGAACCACACTTCTGCTCCGCCACGTGCATCATCTAACTTCTATGGGAATGTTCCACCATTGCAACCAGTTTATGCAACAGTTTCTCTAGGTTACTCATCATACTATAGTGCAGTTCCTCCCCATCCGGCTGCGCCTATGCCAACAACTGATCACTCCCAGGGGATGAGCAATTTACCTTGGGCACCGAATCCACCACAACCACCACTTCCAGGAGCTTCCGCTGGAGAGAAAACGAACTATGGAGCTGATGCTGAGTATGAAAAGTTCATGGCAGAGATGAAATGATGGTCTTTTCGTGTTACTGGTACCTATTTGTCAAGAGGTATGTTCTCGTCTGTAATTTTATGTGTATTAAAACATGTGCATGTAACTGATAACTGTTCACTTGGATGTAAAATCACACTTTCCTGACCTTCCAAATGACTGCAAGAAAGTACACTTGGAGTGAGCCTAGTTATCATTTAACTCAAGTTAAAATTCCTCTTTTTTTTTTTGTATAACTGCAGCACAAACACCTGTGTTCTTATAGCTAGTGGCAAATTTATATCCGTAGGAGTCCCAATTAGTGTAAATTGATTAAATTTCAACTTCTCCATTCCTTCTACTTTTCAAAAGGTAGAAAAAATAGAATTCTCTGAAGTTTTGTGGTACTATTAGTGGTTGTCATAGTGCCTCTTTCAGTGAAGAGATTGAGAATCGAGGTGCTTCACATTGACTTGGTGTGCACAATGTTTGTAGGTGTACTATAATGTTTTTATGCTTCTCTTGGACTTGGACTCTCAATTGACTGTACTATTGATGCTTAAAGGGAGATCATTATATGAGTTTAGTGTACAACTGAGAATCAGTGAATTTTCGGTTAATGATAAAAAACTTAGTTACACATTCTGTTAGCATGATAAATAATAATGCACCTTCATATTTGCTTATTGCTCTCGGTCACATATATCACTATATGATTATAGCGCAATGTTCTTTCTTTGTACACTTCTTAACCATTTGCTTTTGTCGTTATTGGATAATTTTTTCCAGGCCTGATGTTTCTTGGAGCAACCTGATTTCTTACATCTTGCCATGACTTTGACGTTTGGGACTCACATCTTTAACCTTGCTGTACTGTTATGACATTTGCAGAGATTTGGGCTGCTAGTTCAATCCATAGCCTCCCATATCAGGGACCCATCGGAGTTTTGTTGATGTTCCTCACTGTTTTTGTAGGACTTGATCGTTATATTCTAGTGGATAATGGTGCTTTGATATTATGCTTTCATTTGCTAATCTTTCCCTTAGTGCCTCATTTCAAAATTATTATGGAAGTTGGAGACAGGATCCTACTGTTGTGTTTGTGGCCTACAGGTTGTTTACATTTGGACTCTGATCTCTGTCATACTTCCTATGTTAAGCTCTCAATATTTTGTTTTCTTACTGCTCCCAACTTTTCTTGGGCTTTGCGTTCCTTCGAGGCATTTGAAGGTATATAAGCATTCCCAACTCGAGTTGCAGGTCCTTTCTCAGTGGATTCAGCCGTCGAAGAAGATGATGCAGCTTGGGAAAATATTGGATCATTGCGTTTTTTTCTTCTTGATATTTTCTGACCCTCTGTTCTAACCCCTTGTATGTGAGCTGGTCAGGAATTGTTGAAAACTGGTGAAGGAATTTGTTGCCAGCCAGCAAAGACTCACTCTGGACTATGTCAAAGGAGATTATGGGGTTGGCTATCGGCTATAGTGTTATCCGCGGAAAGTGTTGTCAAAGAGAGTTGGGTCATTTTCTCTTAATCGAACACCGTAACTGACATTGGTAGGCACCTATAAAATAGGGTGATCATGTGAACTGGAACTGCTGTAAATTTGTGTTCTTTGTTTTGAATTGTCGTCCTGCGACTTGAATCGCGTTATGAAATAGCCCTACTGTTCAAGGGTTTGGTATGCCTTTTTGCCGGACGGTAGCATATGTGCATTTGATTTGATTGGTTTCTTATTTGCTTCTGTGTGTTTGATTGCTTTTATGCCTCTGGTTCGTGTGTTCAGATTGGCCGTGGTTGCTATGGCTACCTTACGACCGAGTTAGTGCTTATGGTAAAACCGGGTTGTCTACTTGATTTGTTCTCCCTCCTCGAGAAAGCGCGGATCTGGTTGCAAAATTAGCTAGCCACTTCGACTTGATTGAGTTCTAAAATATATCAGTTCGCCATAATCACAAGGTTTCTTACATCAAAGACAATTACATCAAAGACAATCCAAGTCTGTGGTCTAGAGTAGAAGGGGTCGTTTGAAGAATATGAGTTTAAATTTACAGATTGTCAACAATTTAAAAATTCTAATTCTCCAAATTGTTGAAAACATATTTTAAAATGTTTATTGTTTGGTAACTGTGACTGTTAATTAAAATAAAAAATTTAATTTTATATTAAATAAAATTTGTATCCTTAATAAAAAAATTAGAGTGGTTCAAGAAATATTAAAAACTTTGTTGATAGATATAGTTCATGTGATAATAAATAGAAGTAAGAGAAAACTAGGAGAAAAAACAATCTCACGCATCAAGATATAAAATCTCTCTGATTATGAGAGATTTGATATTCGCACATTTTAGAGATTTGAAATCTCTAAAGCTAGAATCCATAATATAGAAAGCAACAAAAAAAACATAACTTTCTACAAAATCTACGAATTCAGTGAATCCAAGTCCTGAATCCTGTTCTCCAAACGACCCCTAAGACGAGAGAAAAGCATAACTACAAAAGTATATTGGGTGAATAAGGAGGATGATACTAAAGGGAGGAAAATAAATAAAAATGAAGTAATCTCGGGATAGGTTCACATCCTTAAGTCTCAATGCTTAAGAAGTTCCTTGAGTGAATTCAGATCATTAGATGGGTAATTGTTAGCGGTAATTGTTAGTTATTGGTAGGGGCGTACATGGGTCGGTTGGTTCGGGTTTAAGTATTTTAATCACCCGACCCATGCACTACGGTTTGGGAATTATCAAACCCAAACCCACCCAAAAAATTTTAAACCCTATGGTTTGTTTCTAATTGGGTTGGGTCGGGTTGACGATATTTATAAATAAAAACCCAACCCAACATAAAATATATAATTATTATACACCATAAAAATATTTTATAACTAATTAAAATTTCAAACAAATAAACCGAGGTGAAAGGTATCAAAATTCACAAATGTTGTTTGAGTTTTAATAAAATGTGATTTACTTCAACATATGTCTAGTTTTTTTTCACGATATTTGTTGAAATAGGCTAAAAAGGTTATAAACAAATGCATCCATAATATGTTATTCTATAAAAATTGTATACAAGAAAAATGATTATGTGAATCATAATTATATTCAATTTATGTCTAAACTTTAAGTCGAAGAATGCATTAGATTAGGGAGACCATGATAGAAAAACATGGCGAAATATCTTAATTTTCACATTAGTATGACTATATACGACGTAAATATTTTTTAGATACGAACTCATACTAATAGTTGGAACACGGGTTGGGTCGGGTTCTACGGGTTGTGTAATCCAAAATCCAAACCCAACCCAAAAGAGGCGGGTTGCACAAAAGAAAACCGTCACCCAACCCAAAACCTTCGTTTTAGCGATAAATACGGGTGGGTTGGGTCGGGTTGGACGGGTGGGTCGGTTTGCGGGTGTGTTTGTTCACCCCTAGTTATTGGTTAGTTAAGGGTAATTAAGGTATTTTAATTGAGCTAATTAATTTAAATTTATATCATCCGTGAGAATTAGGATGAGTGGGCCGATTTATAGGGTGAGTCGCGTTAGGGTTTTATTCTCCAGTGCAAAACTTCCCCGATATAGAGGCCTCTCTTCGGCGTCTTCAGCGGCCGGAAACGGTGGTCTCCTCGCAGCCGGGCTATTCAGACGGACGAAGAGGAAGCTGCAGACCTCCATCCGTCTGCGTCTGTTATTGTGAATAATGAATATGCTATTTCAGAGACAAAGAGTGTCCCAAATCATGGAGTGGTGTTCCTTATATATCAAAATGGCCAAGGAGGAAGAGAAATCAGAAGGCAACTCGTCTATGTAGCCATCCATTTTTTAATGGTGGTTTAGGCCAACTCGTATTGGTTAGTTAAGGGCAATCGTCCACTTAGCCATCCATTTTTTGGAATAATCAAAAGTTCATGTCCCTGCGACTTTTCGTCAGCTAATTAATGGTGGTTCCTCAGCGGAGGTGATCACGTTCAGGATGGTGGTTCCTGCTCGATGATAGGTTACGTATATGATTTAGAAGTTTAAGTTTTTCATTATGTCGTTGAGTATGGTATGAGGTTTACCTTAAAAAATGATGAGAAATCGTTAACAATGTTATCGTAAAGTAATGATGAGTATATTGAAATTGTTAGTAATTTAATTTCTAGTCATTGTAAACATTCTATGATTTGCGTAAAAAAATTACAAGATATCGTTAATACTGATGTCGCATATTTTTAACAACTATACAGAAAAATGATAATAACGATATTGCATACTATTAATGATACATCGCATAAACGTTGATAATGTTACCTTACATAGGTAATAATTTGTAAAGAGTTATAACTAACACATTGTACGGTTATTAACGATTGAATTTCATCATTATTAGTGATTTTCCTTACATTTTCAATGAAACACTAATTAGATTAATAATTTTCATTATTAACGGTTAGAGGTCATTTTATGTTAACATTTTTTATATACTTTTGAACGAAATACCACAATCATATGAAAGTCTTGGATGATATTTGATACGTACCATTAAGTCCGAATATTATTAATGTGTGCTTGTTTTCAATGAAATACAATTTTATTATCAATGATTTGTTGTACCGTTATTAACGGTTTGGTTCTGGATCGTGAATATTGGTTTGCTTGACTTATATTTTGCACCACCATCAATTAACGTTTTTTTTAACTGAATCACAGGTGCAGTATGTCACAAGTGTTGAAGATGTTGAAAATAATCATTGTGCTTTATGATCGCTGAGAAATACAGTGTAAAACAATATCAATTGATCTCAAAATATTAATAATGTCCGTGGAAGTCCTTGTAAAATTCCATGATTGACTAGTTATGAACATGACGTATAAACGCGAATCGTTAATAAATATATTGTAAAACAGTGGCGTGTGGCTTAGCCCTCCTCCGATCCAAAGCTAGTATAGTACGTATGAAGTTTCCGATTTTAGATGTTCGACCCAATAATATTTAAAAGTCAATCCAATGTTATTTAATAATATGATTTTGTGTAACTTGAAAAATGGTCTAGAT